CTCAAAGCTTCACCCCTCTGTCAGTCTATACACTGGACTCCGGTTTTATCTAGAATTCGAATCAAAGTTCTCATGCTTTCCTATAAAGCACTCTATAACCATGCCCCTACTTACATCTTCTCCATCATTAGCAGATATCCCCTAGCTGGCCTCTTTGATCTAAAAGTAACATAAGTCTTAGTTGTCAGGATAGGCTCCTGACACCATGTTAGCATGTGGGTAAACTGTACTGCTCGTGTTCACAAATGGTTCCAATAAAAAAGTATTGTTGGGTGAACCTTTTTTGTTTATGTATGGCTGGAGGTGTTAATCTGGATTCAAGGTGGCACTGGGTGAATGCTTCTGCGACAAGTTCTTGAATTAAAACGGTGCAAATTGGCACGTGGCATTTTTAGTGGACACTGGGGTTTTCACTGTTCTTTTCTATAATAAGCATTATGATAGTTTAATCTTGAAAGTTAAACTATTAAACTGAAAGATTGTTTTTTAATTAAGAAAGTGGAATTTTTAAAAAACAATATATTTTTCAATTTTATCTGTAAGAATGTGTCCAGATTTTGGAAATACTTCATATATCTAAGACTTTTATATTTTGTAGTAACATATTACAGCTATAAGTTATACACCAAAAGGAGTGCATTCCTGTTTTGGTATTATTTGATATACATTTGGTATCTAAGTGAAATGGTGGTGACTGAAACCAAAATGTCCAAACCCAAAAAAATGTATTAGGATTTTCTATTAGTATTTTTTTTTTTTTTTTTTACAAAGACCTGCTGAGGTATTTATCTATAGGTCTTTTAACAATATTAATGCAGTTATTTTATTACAAATCTCTGCCATAATTTCAGGAATATTACTTTATTTAGTAATGATCATCAAGTGTCTGGACATAATCATCCAAGAATGCATGTTACCTAGATTGCATTATGCGCCCATATTTTGTTACACCAAAAAATAAATAAAAACTCGGCTAAATGGAGTAAAAAGGGTAACAATAACTTGGGAGTAAACATTTCTACAAGAAAATATATAGGTATACCAAAAGGTTAGTGATCTTCCTCTGAAGTTACCAAACAAACCCCACAGTACTGGCTATAGTAGGATCCTATGGAATAGTTTGCAAGGTCGAAAACTGGTACAGTGGTTGGAACACAGAGGAGACAGAGAAGGGGAAAATGGTAGAAAATTATCCATGGCTAGTTAAAGGGTAAAAAAAAAAAAGGGGGATAGGACTACATACATAAGCTGTGCAGAGGAAAGAATATTGTCCACCCATGCCTCCCCCTTCTGTCAGTCCTTATACTGGCTTCCCACAAGATTTAGGGCTCAATTTAAAATGTTGATGTTTGCTTACAAATCTCTACATAAACTTCTCCTACCTACCTATCCTCATTAATACGCAAGCATGTCCCTTCCAGGCCCCTATGCTCTGGCGAAGACATGCTTCTATCCTCTGTTCGTATTTGAATCTCTGATGACCACCTTCAAGATTTCTCTATGGAATTCCCTTCCATGCTCTGTTAGCCTCTCGACCAGTCTCTATTCCTTCAAAAAGATCATTAAAAAATTATTTTGGAAAGCATATCAATAAAACGTATAGATATAGATTATGATTTTGGAAAGCATATCAATAAAACAATAAAAAAAGTGATAATGTGATTGAAATTATTTCTTTCAGAGACTGCTTCAGTTTAGAGCCTCCTCCCTCTTGATCACAGTGAGTGAGGGAGACAGAGAGTACTCTTTTTAAAGAGGGCATGGGGACTCTTCTGGAGGTAGATGCAGTCTCATGGCAATCTTACATCCAAACCTCTCTATCACTCATGATATGTCATGGTATATGTAGGAGAATCCAAACACACAGACCATAATCTACAGCAGAGTAAATTATAATCTGTATTACTGGATATTACAGTTGCTGACCTTACTGTATAAATGGTCAGAGAGATAGCCAAGGTCAAAGGTAGGAGAATTCCGAGTAAACGTTAGACAAGCCAAATATCAGGAATTGTCAGGAATATATGGGGATCCAACATGCAGAGTGTAGTAGAATAGTAACTTAGAATGGGCAGGCTAACGTCACAAGGACAGAGAGTAATCAGGAACGAGCCAAGATCAGGGGAGTCAGAAATCAGGAACAGCGAGAATACAAGAGCCGAGTCAAAGGAATACAGAAGGTAGAATAGTCAAACCTAGCCAAAGTCAGAACCTACTGGAAAAGGTCCCCAACCCAGGGACGTATTAGCCGCGAGGCAAACAAGGCATTTGCCTTGGGGCGGCATTTTTCAGGGGGCGGCAAAAAACGCCGCCCCCCAAATGCCCAGGGCAAATGCCTAGTTAGCCTTGCGGCTAACTGACATCCCGGGCGGGCGGCGCTGGCAGGCGGGCGGCTGGCGAGGGAGCACTTCCTATGAGTTGTCTGCTCAGCTCCCTCGCGCGCCGCACAGTGAGGCTGGGAGCCGGAAGATGACGTCATCTTCCGGCTCCCAGCCTCACTCTGGAGCTGAGCAGACAGCTCATAGGAAGTGCTCCCTCGCCAGCCGCCCGCCTGCCAGCGCCGCCCGCCCGACCGGCAGCCACTGGACCACCAGGGAGAGAGAGACCTCCCCCCCCCCAGCACTCCCATAGGTAAGGAGGTTGGGGGGGGGGATTTAAATTAAAAAAAAAGTTAATCTGTGTGTGTGTCTGACTGTGTGTGACTGACTTTGTTTGTGTATGTGTGTGTGTGTGTTTGTGTCTGACTGTGTCTGTGTATGTGTCTGACTGTGTGTGTGTGTTTGTGTCTGACTGTGTGTTTGTGTCTGTGCGTGTGTTTGTGAGTGTGTGTGTGTGTGTCTGACTGTGTGTGTGTGTCTGACTGTGTGTGTGTGTCTGACTGTGTGTGTGTGTGTGTCTGACTGTGTATGTGTGTGTGTGTGTGTCTGACTGTGTGTGTGTTTGTGTGTGTTTGTGCCTGACTGTGTGTGTGTGTGTGTGTTTGTGCCTGACTCTGTCTGTGTATGTGTGTGTGTATGACTGACTCTGTCTGTGTATGTGTGTGTGTATGACTGTGTGTGTGTGTTTGTGTCTGACTGTGTGTGTGTATGACTGTGTGTGTGTGAGTGTGTGTGTATGTGTCTGACTGTGTGTGTGTGTATGTGTATTTAGAAGGTGGGGCGGGGGGAAGGGTTGGGTGGGGGTGGCACGGGGGGAGGGGGGTGCCTGAGTTTTGTCCTGCCTAGGGCAGCACAAAACCAGGATACACCACTGCCCCAACCTCCTGCAGGATGTCTTCAGTGTGTGGCATAGCCTGTGCCAACACATACAGTACCCTGACAGGACCCCTCTTTGAGAACCGCCCACTGGGCGGAATGGACCAGGATAGGAAGGAAATCGGGAATGGAAAGAGTGAAAAAGATAAGGAGCAAGGATGTCAGAAACGTCAACCCAAGATCTCTCCTCAGGACCGTAACCCTTCCAATCCACCAGATATTAAAGCTTACCCCGAGACAACCGGGAATCAAGAAGAGAGTGAATCTCATATTCTTCTTGGCTCTCAACCTGAACAGAAGATGGAGGCACAACTGGACAGCTGAATATGTTACAAGGCAAGGCTTGCGCCGTGTCATAAAAGGGGCAGGGCTATCGCAGCCAGTGCGAGAACGGCTGGAAACAGGAGAGGGACTACTGGAAAGGTCCTTAACATCCTGCAGGATGGCTTCAGTGTGTGGTATAGCCTGTGTCAGCACATAAGGTACCCTGACAGGAATACAGAGAACAGAATAAGTGGTAATCAAGTCCAGGTCAGTAATGAATTGGAATTATCACAAACGCACTATTGGGCTAAACAAGAACCACAACAGGGCTATTGGGACTAGAAAGTCCGGGTGTTAAATACCTGTAGCTCTATAAGAATGGGACCATGTCATAGAGGATCACCAGAAGACTAGAGGATGGCAGATTACCGATTTTGCGTCATTCATGACTTTGTTTGTGTGCCCCGAATAGGTGCTGAATCATTGTTGGAGTAGTGGATGGAGGGTAGGCGTGGAATCATGTAGTTTGTCAAGATCACTGTGAGTAATAAGCATATGTGAGATTAATTCATTACTGTATGAAACAGCGATGAAGGAGTTAATAGGGAGAGGAAAAAAAAGCAAGGGACATGAGTTAACACATTTAACTTCAAATCTCCATATTAGTCTGTGAATAAGATGGACACTTTGAACCCTTAATAAATAAAATGTATTAACTCTTTGGGTACTGAGTGAAACAGTGACCAAAGGGTTGATTTTTTTTTGATTTTTTTTTAATGAAGAGCAGGACAGTTAAGGGATAGTGATGTCCCGAACTGTTCGCCACAAACGGTTTGCCGCAGACTCATCATTGAGTAAACTTTGACCCTGTACCTCACAGTCAGCAGACACATTCCAGCCAATCAGCAGCAGACCCTCCCTCCCAGACCTTCCCACCTCCTGGACAGCTCACTAAGAATGCAGCTTCACAATGGATGCTGTCCAGGAGCTGGGAGGGTCTGGGAGGGAGGGTCTGCTGCTGATTGGCTGGAATGTGTCTGCTGACTGTGAGGTATAGGGTCAAAGTTTTCTCAATGATGAGTCCGTGGCGAACCGTTTGTGGCGAACAGTTTGGGACATCACTATTAGGGGATTATTTTAGCCACTTTCCCAGCATGACGGGATTAATATAATTTAAAATATTTAATGTTTGTTTAAAATGTGAGTCTTCAGTTTCAGTATTATTTTGTTGTGAACATTTCTAATGTTAGTTTTTCCATGCTAAATAAAAAAAAAAAAAATTAAACTACAAACTGCAGAGAAATTTATCATGAATATTTTAAAAAGATACATTTGGCAGATAGTAGGTTGAGGGGAATATACCAGTAACGACAGCAGAGTCATTTTGTAAAAGAATTATATAATTGCTTTTCGGAACACATTAATCACAATTCATACATCAAATTCCAAATGTGTTATTTGAACATGCTAGTATTCCATATTCCAATTGCTTCAGGACAGGTAATTACATTGTTTCATCTGGATCTGTGCCATAACTGTGCTTATGAATAACATATTTGATCTGTACATAACTTTCTTCTTACACGATTCTTTTACTTTTCCATTTACTAGACTGACTGCAGTAGCCCAACTCCTGTGAAATATCGGATTTCAGTATTAATGTCAGGTTAAGATTCAATAATAAACATGCTGAAACAATGATTGTAATACAGTAAGTAAACACTTTCCTGCACTAGTGAGATAATTTGCCCTTGGAACAAAAAAAACCCCAAAACGGTTTAATTCCTAAAACAACAAATTACAGTGAATTGACAATAGCAACATTTATGCCAAAGACCCTCAGCTGGAAAAAGTGCTGACCTAGCAAATTGTTTATCAACAAAGTTTTTTTTTATTAACATATTTTTATTGTTTACTAATCATTTCTTCCACCTGTTACATTCTATTCTGGAGACACAGATTAAAGGAACGCTATAATGCTCGACTAACTACATAGATGTCCGCATACACACTCCAGAATTGAGTAAAATGGTATTTAGCTTACCTTTTTTCCCCAATGCCTCGTTGGTCTCGCCACAGTTGGCCCCACCTCCATTGGGGACTGTTGCACCTGCAGGGACTTTTTACCTGATGATTGAGGTATAGAAGGCCATTACTCCCTTTAAGCTATCATTTTTGTACTGCAGGAGTTTTGGTATATGGTAGGCTGATGTAACAAACAGGATGTGATTTAAAGTGTTACTTTACCATCTTCTGAAAAAATAGACCGTTCTATCTCTTCTTGGGTTTCTTCACTTTCCGCATTCACTCTTCTTTAATGATGTCTGTTATGTTGTGAGATCATACCAAATCTGCTCAACTGTATTAAACACACTATGCTACATCGCCTATTTGTCTTTTCATGTCAGCAATGCCTTAAACTTTATTCAGAATAAAAGCCACCCCACTCTTTATCTGCAGAATTGATTGTTTTTGACATATTTTGCTATAATTGTCTTGCAGTTGCCATGCAGTTCATTACCGTAACAGATGCATTATAATATAATATATGATATTCCCGTCCTTGGCTTTAGTATCTTCATTTTCATGTCAGTTACTTTTGTTTACACAATTCTCCCTCTCCATGTAATTTACTTATCCTATTGCTCCTATGTCATTGCTCATTTTGTCTTTCATATACGACTTGCCCATTCCCTTCCAACACATGTAACATTGCCTCTCTCATCCGACAAGCACTCTTTTTCCCTATGTCACTTTCCCAATCCAACCCTTCCCATGCAAACATATATATATAACCTTCTCACACAAGTCTATCCATTAAAAGTTTTATTATTCTGTGTCCTGCTCATCATTGGAATCTTGTTATCTAAAGAATTTAAACTTTTTATTAAACTCCTAACTGATGCTCCTAAACAGCCAATATAATATTTAAAATATTTACAAAACTAAAGAGAAACTAGGTAATCAAGTGATTGGTGTCATCCATATGATCCAATATAATTTATCCTCTTACATTTTAGGTCTTTGCTGACACTTCACCAAAGATTACACATTAGTGTATAAACCACAGTACGCTGAATCACTACTAACATGTGCCGCTATTTTTCTCTCCATGCTGCCACATGAAATTCTCGCATGTCTCTTTTCTTTCCATTCTGGGCAGGGCCGGATAAATATAGGGGCTAATGGAGCTGTAGCTCCGGGCCCATATCTATGGATTTATTTATTTTTACTGCTTTTAACATGTTCTTGCTTTCTGTTGAGGCAATTAAGTACTGACTTTGCGCACTATGCAAATGCTCTTGCTGCTTTGGTCTCTCTAACACTGTTTCATGTCCCCTTTCTTCTACACTTACTAAATCCATGTTCTCTGTTCCAGATTGCATACCAGGAGCTTCCGTTTGCTCCTAAGAAGGTAAAGAGAGGAGTGGACAAGTGAGTGCTAGGGGACCGTCCTCAGAAAGGGTAGGGTGAACATATCATTAGCATTATTGCCAAGCTCAGGGCACTGTCTGCTTAGTATGCCCTTAGTTGGCCAGCCTGTGTGATTGGTGGGCAGCCTTGCATGCATATGCAAGGCCAGCCCTTTGAATGCTGCCGGTTACTTGATTTGCGTCAGTGGCCCACCCTTTTACCTCGCCTACCTACGTCTTGCATCACTGGATGCAGCTGTTAGGTGATATGGATATGCTTAACAGATAAAAGCGAGAGATTAGCATAGGGTATGTGTTTTCTTATTGCTGCATCCTGTGAGTTTTCCACCAGCACTACCTCCGCCAGATACATGATGCTTGGGAACTATGCCCTGATTCTGGAATTTTCTATTTTTATCCCATTTTATATTATTACTGTATAGTCATCTATGCAATGCTATGACCCAGAGAAACATATTTTAAATAAGCAAAAATGAAAAACAACACACAAAAACAATGGACATTGGCAAACTACAGAACGGATTTTACAGATATCTTGTACATACCAAGGTCATTTGCTCACTGGTGTTAAACATCATAGGCATCTGAAATAAACTGATTTAAATAAAAAAAAAAAAAAAAAACTGAATTACAAAAACCTTGACCTGTATTATATCACAACTAGAGCATTTTTATGTTATTACGTTGCCAACTTACTCTTAATCTGGTATTTTAATTAGATGTATCACATCAACTGATTGGGGCTCGTTGCCATTTTCCCAAATAATTTGGTTTTCATTTCCATTACTTATTTTGATGCAATGTTATTTATAACTAACCACCAAACAAGAGGAAGAGCAAACAAAATCTGGCTTGGAATTCCTGTCATTAATACATTCTGTAGTGCTTGAACAGTCAAAGGGAAGAGCAGGTCCATGCTTGTCTTTTGTGCTGTGAATAGGATCTTTGTTCAGTTCGAATTTAACATTCAAGGTAACCTGCACTTGTATCTACTTCGCTCTAAATTATATCCTCTACCGCTCATGTTACTTGCATTTACTGACCTACTTCTGAACTTGTTGCTCAGACCACAAATGGCCCTATTTAATACCATTGTGATATACGCTACTCGGTAACTAACCTGAAAAGGTTCTTTGTGCATACAATCACAGGTAGTGGTCTGTTTAATTTATCCACACCTGATTTTTTTATATACAGTAGAATGTGATACTACATTCACTTTTTCCACTGGGTGATTCAGAGTTGGTTGCAAAATCCTCTGAGGGATCAATATAAAGGCTATTTATAAATAATATTGTACAACTGGATTTTAAACTCAGAACCCTTCTATATACTTTTTGTGTCCAAAAGACAAAGGAATGTATATAGGAAGCTATTCAATGAAAAGTAAATCCAGCTCACTGTACATGGAATTTTAAATCTCCTATCAATTTTAAATCTCCTATAAATCTCCTCGTTGTTAAAGGGACACTATGGTCACCTGAACAACTTTAGCAACTTAATGAAGCAGTTTTGGTGTATAGAACATGCCCCTGCAGCCTCACTGCTCAATCCTCTGCTATTTAGGAGTTAAATCCCTTTGTTTATGAACCCTAGTCACACCTCCCTGCATGTGACTTGCACAGCCTTCCATAAACACTTCCTGTAAAGAGAGCCCTATTTAGGCTTTCTTTATTGCAAGTTCTGTTTAATTAAGATTTTTTATCCCCTGCTATGTTAATAGCTTGCTAGACCCTGCAAGAGCCTCCTGTATGTGATTAAAGTTCAATTTAGAGATTGAGATACAATTATTTAAGGTAAATTACATCTGTTTGAAAGTGAAACCAGTTTTTTTTTTTTCATGCAGGCTCTGTCAGTCATAGCCAGGGGAGGTGTGGCTAGGGCTGCATAAACAGAAACAAAGTGATTTAACTCCTAAATGACAGTGAATTGAGCAGTGAAATTGCAGGGGAATGATCTATACACTAAAACTGCTTTATTTAGCTAAAGTAATTTAGGTGACTATACTGTCCTTGGAATAGTTATTGACATTTAATTCAGCCAATCACAGGCTGATGTTTTTGATCAGGGGAACAATGCCAAATAGATCTTTTTTTGTGGTTGGTGCGTGTGTGAGAGTTTCATTTTTATACCCTCAGCATGTGATGTGTGATTTTGATTTTCACCTAAAATGAATACAATATTCAACAAGAAGCTTTTATAGTCAACTTGCCATTTTGTCCCACTGCAGTTAAATAAATACATAGGAGCCATGTTATCATAAGGCTTTCCAAACAGCGCTGCTATTGATCTGAATGTAAATTTTTCACTAAAGCTATTTTTAATGAAGAAAAGCTGTATTTTGCAGATGAATGCTTGGCCTTTTGGCCACGATCAACGTAGTGCAAGTTTAACTGTGAGCCTCTAGAGGGGGTCTCAGTGATTCAATAGATGGGGATCACTTGTATTATTATTATTACACTTTTCTATAAACTGATGAAAAGAAAACACACCATACCTCCCAACAGTCTCCAGTTGAGTTGGACAGTCCCTAGTTCGTGTGCCCTGCATCTGAATTTCACTAAGGGTATTCAACGTATGGACAGACAGCTTTAAGAGTGCATACTTTGAATCTCCTGCAAGGAATATCACAAAGTAAAAAGTAATTCGCCACATTGAAAATAGTCATTTAAATGGAAATTCATTCAAGAAAGCTAGAATGGTATTTATTTATTTTTTTTGGAAAACAAACACTCTCTTTCCTACTTTTAACACCATTTGGATGAACCATTGAATATGTTTATAAAACTGTTTACAGAAACATGAACTTAATAAAAAATATATATATTCACATTATTTTCTACAAAATTGTGCCAAAAGTAGTTCATATATATGCATATCCTTTTACAACTTCGGAGAGAAGAAAATTAACTCAGAATGGACACATTAACACTTGCTCTCTGGTATGCATAAAAACCATAATCAAATGCACCTGTAATGTTTTACAAAAGCAATCATGAATAGATATTACTTGCTGAATCGCTTGAATGAGTGGCAAAATAGTGAAGGTGGGAAGAGACGGAAATTCTAAGTATGCCTAATGCCATGTAACTGGTACTATAGAACCATGTATAATTAGAGATATTCTAGCTTGCTAGTCTTAATACTTTTCATATTTGTTTCTATTGATTCACATCTAAAGCGACTAGCACAAATACAAAAAGGACAAACTATCTGACATACTATAGGATGCACTAGCACAGGGAAACACATATACAGACACACAGGCACCCATACAGACACATATATATTATCTGTCCCTCTTAGCGCCTGCTGCTCACCATACTTAGAGAGAGAGGGGGGCTCAATATCCTGTATTCTTATGTCTAATGTTGGAGGGGAATAAGAGCAGGGTCATGGGGAGGTCTTCCCACCAGACTTGCGGTTGCACATTAGACTAGCAGTATGTGTACCAGTATATGACATCACATCCCTGTTCATAGACGGACGTACTGCCAAATACTGGGAACGCAATGAATGCTCCATCACAACGTTCACACCTGTAAAGCCCCCCAAAGCACAAAGAATGGATGTGTCTGCATGGACCTGGTCAGATATGTATATTTTTTCTTTGTGAAATGTCATTCTTGTCATTTGTATATATGTGCAGTTAGGTATATGGGCAACAAATAGCTAGTCTATGCTATAAAGATGTGAAAAGGTTGCTGCACTGTATATTTATTTATTTATTACTGGTATTTATAAAGTGCCAGCAAATTAAAGTGCAGTCCTTTTTTTCCCTTTGATGGTAACTTGGTAATTTGGTTTGTCAACATTTAGTGGCTATTCCCTAGCCTTAATCTTTTTTTTCTCAACACGTATCTATTGTCACATATAGTTTACTACTGTAATATATAATCTGGCTCTTAGAATTTTGGTTGGCAAATATTTAATTGTTTATAACAAATTGCTGGCCTGCTGGCCTGCTCCATTCAGTCTTCCCACTCCCCCCTCCCCCTTGTCCCCCCTTACTATAGAAGTGTCATCCTTTTTTATTTTTTTACCTCTCCATATTTTGTGTGTATGTTATCATTAGATTTTGGATCCAGATTATATTTTTCATTGTGGTGTTACTCAAATTCCCAACTTTACCAAAATTGAGTGGAGCCATTGAAATTAAGTCCCGCAGCTTTCTTTAATCTCTTAAATAGCAGCCAATGGCTAATGCTAGAGTGAAAAGATGAATGTGAAAGACTGTTACCGTAGCAGTTACACGTACACAAAGATGTCATTTAATGCAGTCGTTTTTAAATTTGTTTAACAGGTAACCAAAGTATATACAAGTATATACATAGTATTACCACCCATTGTTCAATTATATTGTTAGCATGGCAATCCAATCTTATATTTTACTATGTTACAAACTAAAATAAATTCTACGCTTTCATAAGAATCAGGGGAACACCATTATGTTACATGATGGACTGGATGATATAAAGAAATTAAAAGAAAAATCTAATATTAAAAGTAAATATATTTTGCATGGCGACTCCAAATGTGAAGGTCTTCAAAAATGAAAGATTTAAGGACGAAGCATCTTTATTGGTTGTGTGTTTTATAGTCACTAGGGTTGTGTTTTGGGCTCAAAAAATCAACGTTGGCCAATATAAATAGAATGTATACGCTATTCTTTGAAATCAGAACATAACTATAAGAGGAGCCAGAGCATTCATATTATTTATATAACAAAGGTATATCCAACTGTCTTACTATATCATCAGGAATGTGCAGATTGAGATACAAAGAACAGGAAATGAAAGTAGTTTGTCTTGGGATTTACCATGGTAATCTGTTCAAAACAGAATACGCACAAAGTTAAATATAGTCAAAACTGCAATTCTTTAATGCTGCAGGTTCAGTGCGAAAAGATGAGTTTTAGATTTTGTTTATTTTTACTATGATTTAATCTCCACAGTCTTCTGTTTCCATGTCCCAGTGTAGCCTAACAAATCAACGCACTGTACATGGGCCGTTGGATAAACTGTGACTACTATTGTGTATTTGTCATATTATCTGATACACCCATTCTGGAGACAATATGATAAAGCCGGGAAGAAAAATGTAGGTCTATAAACAAATTTAATTTGATAGACTTGGTACTTCCGTTCCTGCCTTTTGTAAATGTAAAGTGGTATCTATTAAATGAACACTCCCATCACCAGAATTACATTGGTAGGAGTGTCCTGGTGCTATTCTATGGTAAGTTTTAAAAACATTCAGTACATTTTAACAACTTATTTCAGTCTACTCCTGCATGAGAATTTAGTTATCTCTAGAGAGCTCAGCAGGGCTATTCCGGACTATGATCGTTGGCTAGGAGCGTCAGCTGCATCTGAAATTCATTATTTTATAGAGACACCCAGATCGGGCACCTTGGGGACCCTGGTAAGTTGTCCAAAAATGTTTTGATCACTTATAGTAGACAATCCATTTGACTACTACATGGTTTGATTACTTACTATGGGGCTGCTTGACTGCTCCAGGACATTCTAGGCACCACAACCTCTACAACAGGCTGTCATTGTTATAGTACTTGGAGTGTCGCATGAAACAAGGG